AACAATCGAGGCCATGAAAAATGATATTGTAAAACCCCGCAAAAAGTTGCCTCAAAGAAAATCGAGACACTAGTCGAAGTACCGTCAAGCAATGCGCGTCAAAATGTTCAATCTAAGTGCTTAGAAGTTTCAAAATTATATGTAAAGGTAAAACATGTTAATACTTGGTAATGAATCGTGACAAGTTCAAAGTTTTGATTTTACAAAATTCATGACAAAAATGTTTTACTTAAAAAATTATGCTTTTCAAAAGTAAAAAATTGTAATACATATTTTCAAATATGACAAAAACTTTGAAAACATCTTAAACGTCCCTCCAACATTTACATTTGATAAGATTTAAAAACGAGGACGTTTCAAGCATTTTTGACTGTACCGGACGTCCGGTACACGTCCAGTATAATCAAAATTGCTCCAACGATCATTTTTCCAACGGTCCAATTTTCTGACAAAAAATAACGACTAGTTGACCATCTGGTATTTTTCCGGACGTCCGGTAAAGTGCGTTTGGTACGACAGAGTTTTTGACCGTTTGTATGCTATAAATACCTCATTATTCCTTCACTTGCATTAACAATTCTTGAGTATAAAAGTGAGGTTTTTATTGATTACAACCACCATATTCTCCATCTTCAAGAAATAGTTATCATAATTTTGAAAATTCAGATTAACTTTGCAAAAATCTTTAGTTCTTCAGTTAGTTTTTCAAATCAACACTTTGAGCTATACTTATTGCCATCTATTGAAGTGTTTGCCTCTTCTCTTCTTGTTATCAATCTTGAGTCTATCATTCAATAAGAAGAGAAGATTTCACTTATAAATTCATTTTGAATTGTGGGTTATGTTGAGGTCCCGGAAAAGCTCAATATTGTAAAGGATCAACACTCCTTGGTTGTAAGTCACCGGAAGCATTGTAAATGGTTGGATTGCATCACAAGTCAATCAACATAGTGAAAATTCCTTGCTCATGACGGAGAGCTTCGTAACGGAGGACGTAGATCGTTAGGTTGGATCGAACCTCCATAACATATCATTTGCACTCTCTAACTCTTTACTTAACGTTTTACTTTGTGCAAGCTTATATCATACGATCTATGTGGGTATTTTCATTTCGTTTTTTTCTTTATCATTTGTGTTATCATT